TTCAAAGCAGTTCGGCGGGGGGGGGGGGCATTTTGCACTTTTGCTACTTCCCATCGACGTGTCGACCCATCTAGACAGCCTCTTCTCGAGTTGACAGGTTTTACCATGATGGCTTGACGAGCTTGCTCCAGCTTCACAAGAGTTCACAGGTTTCACCAGAGTGAGACTTGTGAAACCGGAACTAGTGAAGCAACGAAAACGGAAAATACACCCGTTGCTCCCCCGTTGCCTAACTGGGCCTTGTAATTCTATCCAGTCGCTAGGGAATTAGGGTATAGCACAGCATGACTTTCCCGACATAAATGAAAACGGACATTCATAGACAAATGGGACCGTCTCATATTCAGCGCCTGTCCCACTTTTCTGCAAAATTTGTAAAGAAAAACAATGAAAATCGTCTGAACTCAGGTGGACTTCTTATTGTCAGTCATCGGATTCGCAGTCGATTTGGCAAACATATGGAGGTTTCCGTACCTCTGCTTCAAGAATGGTGGAGGTAAGTATTTCTTACCAGGCAGGGTAATTCCACAGTTGTTAGTTGGAATTTAGAGCAAATGTATCAGGATAAGGAACCTTCAGTGTGATTCCTGCCTCTAATGTTCTTTTCAGGTGTCTTTTTGATACCGTACACTTTAATGGTACTATTGGCGGGTATTCCACTATTTTATATGGAACTCTCGCTAGGTCAATACTATCGAAAAGGAGCCATCACAACGTGGGGACGCATATGTCCACTATTTAAAGGTTTGTTGAAGTTTCCTTTGGAGAAAATTCACGCATGATCATTTCAAAGGAATACCTGTTCACAGCAAATCCTGTGCAGGAAGGGAAAACTGATGTCCCACTAAAGTGCTTTTTTTCTGTGAATCCAGCCCTCTCACCACGGTTGCAGGGTTCTTACCAAAAGGACATGCTCTCTGCGAGGGTCGAGAACTATTTTCTCATGCCATCTACTGTCACAGCAGTTGAAGGGAGAAGGCAAAGAAGGAGGGAAGAGAGAAGGAAGGAAGGAAAAGAAGGAAGGAGGAAGAAAAATAAAAGAGAAGAGAGGTTCCGCGGTTGACCAATATCCTAGACGCTGTCACCACAGCTCTTTCGCGCTTCTCATTAGTTGTTTGGTTATCCGGTAACTGGGTTCAATTATTTGAGCACTTCCGAGTTGCGACAATACTTTTACTGTTAGAGGGGGGTTGCTAATGTGTCCTAAGCAGTCGGAGCGATACCAAATTGATCTAAAACCCGTTCGCGATCTTAACAAAGGTGCAGAGACCCTTCAGAACTGATAGGGGACTTATTCTTGGCTTTTCTCTTAGCTCCTTGACATTTTTATTCGAATTCAGTTTCCTACTGGAGGGCAATAGCGGACTCGGCTTTCAATGGCATAAGGTACGATAATTTGGTACTCGGTAAAAGGGGTCACAGGGGTGCAGTGCAGTACGGTGGATAGGGCAGCATGTGTGTACTCAACATCCATGCAGCACCGCGGCCGCTTCAAATCAATGCCTTCGCTTCATGTTGTACTTCGCAAATGAAGCGATACGAGCATCAGCATCGGTCGGACATTTGTGGGCAGGCGGCGCGGGGCGTCCGGGTCAGTATGTTGCAAGTTTGTAGGGCGGTATAAGGATACGCGGGCTTTGTCTCGAAAGATTCTTTCCGCGATCAGGTATAAAAGTCGAAAATAAAATAAAAATAATAGGCCGTAGAGTTGAAGATACAGTCCATCAGGCACATACAAAATGGGATCAAAATGGTTTATACCTAGAGCAGGGGGCATGTTTTTCTGCTTTTTTTTCTTCTTCATACTACGGGCTATCTATCTTGGGATCCCCAACAGGGAGGGTCGTATTTTGGCCGCCAGGAGAGGAGGGTCGTATTTGGGTTAGAAAAATTTATTTTGATAGTTGATTTTTCTCGCTTCACGAACGTTGTCAAGGGGGGAGGGGTCATACTTGGTCATTGTTGGTTGTTTGGAGGGGAGGAGGGGGTCGTATTCGCGTATTTACGTTTTGACGTTGAAGATGTGGTGGTTGACTTTTGGTGATTTTCCTGTTTCATGCGTACTATATGCCCCCATTTCCCATCCTCCAGCTTCCATTCCCCCGCACCGGCCGCCTTACCAACTCCCCGCCTCGACGGCTCGATTCCAGAAGAGGGACAAAAGGGAGAAGAAGGACAGGGCCGGACAGGGGGTCGTACCACCACGTCAAAAAAAAGGGGGGGGGGGGGTCGTTCAGACTGGACTAAAATCCCCAAGCAATGATGTGCCCTGCTTCACTATCGAGCTATTCAGCACCTTGTCGTCTATATGCGAGCCCCTAATCCACTATCTGTAATGGAGAATGATCGCATTTTACCTTTAAGCGATTATATGTAGCTATTCATAAAGTGAGCTTTAAAGGTATCGGCTACTGTGTGATCATGATCGCCTTCTACACCGACTTCTTCTACAATGTCATCATCGCCTGGGGTTTTTACTACTTATACGCGTCATTCACGTTAAACTTACCGTGGGCCAGTTGCAACAACTCTTATAATAGCATTGCTTGCTATGAACCACAGTCAGTGATTTTCTTAGTATAACTTCATGTATATTTGCTGAAAAACTATGAAGTAAGAGGTACCAAGCCAACGTGCTCGATACTCTACCTCATACGTCGAATTTAAAGTCTAAGTCGACGGTTATTTTATTTATAACTTCAAATTCTTTCAGTTGGAGCGATGGGTCATCCACGTGCCGAGAACCGGTCACAGACGAGTCGTCGAGAATCTCAGCAGCTGAGGAGTACTTCTAGTTAGTATACATTGTTAATAAATTCCATGTGCTAGTGATTAGTCAACTCATTAGTATTCGTCTGACCGTATTTGAAGGCAAGTGGCACTATAAGTCCCCAAGACGTGTGGGATTAATACACCTGGCAGGGTTGATTTTGACGCCTCTGAGCAGAAGCTGCGTGGCGCCTTTTCTACGAAATGTACCCCTTTAACACCCTCTCAAGCTGCAACATCTGTGGCAGAGACAGCTTGCTAAACATAAAAGTGCAAAAAATGTGTGGCGAAGAGCTAGGGGAGGAACAGTACTGTATGAGATAGCAGAGGTCATAGAACGCCATGCTGCCGCAGAGAAAAGCAGAAAACTGGCGCAATCATAGAGCTTAAAGGCAGCGCCCGCGTTCATTTGTTGTTAATACGCCCTCTTTGGATATCGTAGCTCACCCTATGAGGATGGTGGACGTACTAGTTTCGCAACTCAAAAATGCGAGAGTAGCGGCGCCCGCTCGTGAAGAGTCGGCCACCCCGCCCACCTGGCGACCACTACGCCCAACTTCATTTCTAATGGTTGCCTGATGGTGCGGTTTTTCCTGCCTGATGGTGCGGTTGTTCCGCACTCTCTCCACATCGAATGGTGAGAGTGAGGTGATAAGGGAAAACAGCTGATACCAACAAGTGAGAACTCGTGCGGCCGCGCCTTCTTTTCGCCTTGAGCACGTACAACCTCAGCTCGGCGTGGGGTCCATATAGGGCAAATCCGAAGATTTTTTGCATTTTTTTTCCACTAATGGACTACTTGCTACCTTGTTGTCACTACCTGAGCCCCATAACTCATCAAATTGAACGCGGGCGCTGCCTTTGAAGCTCACGTTTTCCGTAGACCGGGATTTCGCGTTCCCTTTCCTATGCTCCCAATCAACTCTTATCAGTTGTTATCACTTTGTATCATTTGCGTACTATGTCCCCACCCAGCTCCCTATGATACATATGCTCTCCGATGGCTTATGCTCCTGTCCCATCACTTTTGTCACTTTTGAATTTGAGCACCCTGCAAC